TGTTGACCAACCATTTACTCCTTCCCTCAGAAGAGTTGAGATAAGGAGGATCCCTCTTTATCTTAATTCCCTTGCTTGATGGCCAACCATTTTCTCATTCCCTTAAAAGAGTTGAGATAAAGAGAGTCCCTCTTTATCGTAATTCCCTTACTTGATGTTGGCCAACCATTTGTTCCTTCCCTCGTAAGAGTTAAGATAAGGAGGATCCCTCTTTATCTTAATTCCCTTGCTTGATGTTTGGCCAACCATTTACTCCTCTCATAAGAGTTAAGTTGTATAAATCTAGAAGAATGGGGTAATTAGTGATGTAACACAATTAAGTTTTATATTATTATTGTAAGTCAATTATTTAATGAAGCAATTTGCTACTATTTTTCGTTAGGATAGATCCATCTCTATTATTATAATTGAAAGGTGAATTTGGGCATTGTGCCCAATACATGAAGACAATCAACGAAACTGAAAGGAATCGAGAAAAAGCAAACAAACTCCAAGCAATTGCTAGGTATGGCAATGGGTCCCCACGGGGGCGGGGACCCCCCCCCTCCATCCCCATCTCTGCCAATGGCAGGTACAGGGATTCCCAAGGGGATTTTTGGCGGAGGTTCAAAAATAACCTCCGTCCCCATACCCGCGGAGAATGATAGGTCCCCGCAGGTATTCGGAGTCCCCATCAAATAAAACTATCACCTACTCGACTGCTTGTTAATCAAAATTAAGCTCAATAGGGACTTGCTTAAAGTCCACCGGTTTCCACATTCATCAAATAAAATTAACTCAAAAAATCATATAAAATAAAAATTTGAATTAAAACAAACAAGTAGTAAATATACACAGCCAATATAAACATGTCAAGCAGGTCCAGCAAGTCAGCAACAAGTTCATAAAAAAAGGCATAAACTACCATATAAGTCCAACAAATTCAGCAAAATGTTCATAAAAAAAAAAAAGCATAACTGTAACTGTCATCGGCAAAGTTCATAGAAAAAAAGAATGCATAAACTACTATCATACATGCCCAGCAATAAGTTCATTAAGAAAAAGGGCATAAAAGAGATGACTTACTGACGATTAGTTGAGAGATTGGAGAAGAGTTATCGAGTTGAGTGTGAGTGAGAGATGGGAGAATATCAATGTTGCAGTGGTTGCACAATGGGTAGTGACAGTGAGAGCTTGAAGGGAATCATAGATGAGGATTGAGGAGTAGAAAGAGAGTTGCAACGCAGAGTCGTAGAAGAGATTGGAAAGAAGGAATCACAAATCTAAAATTGAAATCTTTGGATAGTCCTTCTAGGGTTACCAATGTAAATTGGGCTGGGCAATTAAGTTTAGGAAGACTAGATTGACAAAAAGAATAGGCTAAATTTGACAATTGGGTTTGGGAAAACTAAAAAAAAAAAAGGGTTGTGAAATTTAAGTTGCATTGGCATTGAGTTAGTTAATTAGGTTGGGTAAGTAAAAATTAATTGTTAATATATTTACAAAAAAAATATATAAATAAACATACATTCATATTTTTTTTATTCTATATGGATCTCCACGGTTCTCCATGAGATGGAGGAAATTCCCCACGAAAATTCACGAGGAAAAAAATGCCTCCATTCCATCTCACGGAAAAAAATATTCTTAAAATCTCCATCCCTATGGCAGGGATCTCCACAAAGCTCCACGGGTTGTGGAGGAAATTGCCATCCCTAGCAATTGCTACAAAAAAGAAATCCTCTATATATAAGATTAAATATGATTAAAAGAAATTCCCTTTTTGCTGGTCAAACAATTATCGGCTGTTACTTCAGACATGGGTGTCTGTGCTCTATCATCCAGTTTCAACAAATTAAAGAATTTTCGATAATTGCTAAATTCAATTTGCCTTGCTAAATTACATATGAAAGAGATCTTTTAATCTTATTTGTTTCTAAACCAGTCATTTAGTCTGGTACCCGTGATGCAATAGCTTTCCAAACAATTTGAATATATACGTGTGTGCGTTCCTTGAGGGTTAGAACTTCTTTTCTTAGTATGTGAATTGTGTTGAAAATAAACCTGAAAGCTGAGGCTCAGTTAAGGTCTGTATGTATTTTGCTGCACAACTTTGCTTAATGTATGGTGTATTAAGCATTTTAGCTTAGGTATCTTGTCTGTCTATATATGTTCTCAATTTTCAAGAATTATCTCAAGAAGATGATTTAAGTAGGAAATCCGAGAATAGTCAAATCAACAAAAAGATTAATTATCTTCAGACTTTAACCTTAATTAATTTGTCTTTACAAAACCAATCTCACTTTTTAATTCTAATTCTAATTTATATATAAATAGACACCTCCTCTTACTAGATAAATGAACAAAAACAACTTTTAGTATTAAAGAATTTATCTTTTATTTAATAATTTAAATTATATAATTTAATATAATTTATATCATATAATATTTTTTTATTATCAAACGAGAAAATGTTAAAGACCCTAAAATTTTCTATTTAAACTGTATTAAAATCTAAAATTTAAATTATTAAATAAAGAGCAAGCTCTTTGATAACTAGAGCTGCCCATCCATTCAAGGCTTCATGATCAACAATCAATAACAATTTAAATGTAATATTCACTATTAATTTTAATCTAAAGTATTATTAAAATGTATGTTTTTATTTACTCGACAGAGATAAAAAAATTTTAAAAAAAAGTTTTTAATACTTTATTAATATCAACTTATTTTCAATAAGGTTTTCGTAACTTTTTGGCTTGAGATTAACTTGACAATTTTCTCAATATTAATATTGAGTGTCGTTATTATAATGTACAAAAATATTAGCCTTGCATAAATTTAATTTTTTTAAACAATTATTTATGATTTTTAAAAATATCATCTTCTAAATTAATTTTAATTTATTAACTAATAAATATTAATTATTCTATGAATTATCAATTAGTAATGATTACTTTTATTTGTTTTTAATAAT